AGAAAAAGGAAATTGTAGCCATACAAGATTAGTTGACATACATTGTAATATTATCAACTTATGCAGTTAAGCGGTTCATAGTGATTTCAGTATTTATGTTATGATTGTGAGAGGAAACTGTGATAATGACAACTGTATAGACGACAATAATGCTGACATTTATAATAGTGAACATGACGAACAATAATTGCAATTTCAAATCTCAGAAATATTCTTATTATTTATATCTGAAGCATAGGCAACAACTTTTTGCTTAGTTTACGCGAAAAAAAAAACCATTTACTTGCATCTGCAAGACTACAACAGTTTGAATTTAGATTTTCCTATGCAAATTTATCAGTGCATGAAAATGCATACTATATAAGTTTGCTTCTTGCTGTAAGTGGATTGTTTTTTAGTTCTCCTGAGCTACTACTAGTTGGTTGCTAACATTTATCATTTAAAGCAGCGACTCATACTGATTCACGGGATCATCCAGGTTTCATTAATTACCTAATGTAACCTATGCGGTATACATTTGAGAGTGAAAGTTTTATGTATTCATTTCAAAATTTTTGGTAACTATTTGCATAGAAATATATTTAAATTAATGTTGTGAATTGTAAATTGCAATTATATGCCATAAGTATCGAGTATTACGTGTTCTTTGCGTGAATGCGTAACTCAGATGAAAAGAATGAATGATAAATGAATTAATAAATGAAGCTTTTTTAATTAGAGATGGCAACAACAGTTGAAGCTGATAGAACATTGTCGAATGTAAGCTTGAACGAGAGAGGTTTAAGTGGATCCGAGCGAATCTTTCATGGTGTAACGCATAAACCACAACTATTTGCATTTCTATACAATAAACGTAATGCAAATTTGAATAATTTACTTCCAACAATGGAATTAAAGACCAGTCGAGAACAGGTTTTACAATAATTATCTTTGATATTTGATCTCTTGCATATTTAGATGTATAAAAGTATATTTAAAATTTTCGTGAATATTTTATTCATTTAATTCATTAAAACTGATGAACATATGTATTATGGAAGTTTATTTTTCAGTTGGTATATGTAATTTTAATTTTACTGGTTTTTTATCTGTCGATTGGATGTTTTGCTGAATTAATTTGTAATGTTTTTGGATTTGCTTATCCTGCCTATGCATCTGTTAAAGTTAATTTTTCAAACTTTAAATTTTACTGAATTCTTTTAATTAATTGAAAAAATTTTTGTATGTTGTTTAAATGAGTTTAAAAAAAGAGAAAGAAATTTAGGCAATTCGAACACCAAATAAGGAAGACGATACACAGTGGTTAATGTATTGGACAGTTTTTGCTACATTTTCCATAGTTGATTCTATGATATCCGGGATTACAAATTCTTTTCCTACATATTGGTTATTTAAGGTGAAATTATTCGATAACAAATAATTTACATTTACATCGAAATCATTCACTAATTTATTTTTGAATTTAAAAATAAAGCAAAAAGTGTTCTATAATTCGCTCAAAACATTTATCTTCTTAAATAAGATAGATAGTAGTAATATATCAATAGAGGTGCTTTCTTAATTGCAATAAAAAATTACTGTTAAAATTTTATTTTTAATTGATAACAATTTTATTAATTAAAAATAATATTTTGGACAATTTATAATTTGATAAATATTAAATTAATTGTTGTATGTTGCTTAAATTTTGATGAAATTAGGGAATAAATTTAATGAAATTAATACTTTAATTTTATCATTTCAGGCGGCATTCTTACTTTATCTTTATGTTCCTAGCAGTAATGGAACACAAATGTTATTCGATAATATCGTCAATCCAGCAATTACAGCAATTGACGATTTCATTAGCATTTATGAGAGGAAGCAATTCCATGAGTTAAACAATAATCATCAATTATCGAATAATTTAAACGAATATGGTACATATAATAAAATTAAAAAATAAATTGGAAAAGATGAGAAGATATGACTCGATAAATATCAAACTAATTGTTGTATATTACTTAAACTTTCGTGAAATTAAAAAATAAATTCAACAAAATTAATAAATATGTAATTTCGAATGTAAAAATAACTGATGAGACATATTGATCAATTGATTGAAAATGAATTATATGACACCTGTTATATAAATTATAAATAATGTTTCATTTGCATGTGTGCATATATATGTGTTTGTTTATGTGTAAGGTCAAAGGTCTTTAGTGGAATACATTATTGATTGCTTCTTCACATACTGCTCCCTTGATATCTTTCTATTCAAGCAATCATACTGCAATAAGCAACAAAATAACAAAATAGTTTCAATCTAACATTATCGTTCAAAATCCCAATAGTTTTTAAAACGATAACAGTAGATCGGATAGAATTAGATTTATTAAATATGGTTAATCAGATTGATTGATTATCTCAAATTGATAGCTGACAGGTTCAATTGAAATAGTTGAAATGATAACCGATTTATCCGGCCTTTAATTTAGATATGAAGTATGATATCAAGTAAAATAGCATTGTGTTTAAAAAACTAACACAATTTTTTTTTTTTCTTCAATGCTGTTTTTTGGTTGAAGGACGGTTAGTGATCTTGGATAAGTTTAATCGATAATTGTTTATATGTTAGGAGTGAATATGTTATATGAAGGATATTGGCATACTATTAACTTTACTTGTAATTATATCGCTAACTTGGAATAATTAAGCTCAATTAGCTAACTGTAAAACTTGCTAATTTGATTCTAAATGTAAATGCATAATTTGTGAATTGTAAATTAAAAGAGAAGAAAATAAACTGGAGGAAAAAGATAGGTAAAAGATTTGACTAAATCTTTTAATTTGTTTACATTTGGCTTCATTTGTTTAAATTCAACAAAAGATTGCAATGCAAATTTAGAATGTTTGCATATCCGTGATAATATAAGTAAATAATTGATTGGAAAAACTTTAAAAGCAATTTAGAGATGTAATTATTTAATTAAAAAGTAAGCATGAAATTTTACATAAAACAATTGATGATATAATTAACCACTGTTCGACTTCAAAAAGTTTGAACTCAATCGCGCTATATTATTACTGTTTATCAAGTTTGTTATGTTAGAAATATTATTCTGATTTTATCAATGCTATTATCATCAGTGATGATTAATTTGAAATAAAAAATTTAGCTCAGAATAGATTAATTTCAAGTATGATAAGGGAGGAAAAAAAATCTGCGACATTATTTAGCAAAAATAATTTATAAATTTGATTTCAAGATGGTCTCTCTAAATATTAACTTATTAATACATTTTTGAATTACAAGATTGATATGCAAATATGCATTTTTATCATTTATCATCAATAATTAGTCACTATATAAATTAATTTATTTCGGAAAATTAGTTAAAAATTTTCAAATAGGTTTCATATTAACTTAATAAGAAATTATTATGCAAAAATTTAACAGTTTGATGATTTTTCTTGTCATATTTTTCGATATAAATGTAAAGAAATGAATGGAAAAGAAGAATTAATGACATTTCTTCTCGTATTATCGAAAATTATCAGAAGAGAGAATTGACCTTGAGAAAGATATTACACATTATATTGACAATCAATCAAATTATGTTCATACCCGTTGATATTTATCAATGACCTTTATCAGTTCCAAGCATCGCAAATAATAAAATGTTTTCGCCTAAACTATTTTGATGACCCTTATGTTTTCTCGTTTATATCAAGAGCATTTGACCTTTATGTTTTCTCGTTTATATCACGAGCATTTTTACAGATTGCAATACTGATTAAATTACCGTTTGCACCGATTCTCGACAATGTCCTTGGGAATACTAAATCTTCTAAAGCATACATTTAGGGAATTGATAAGGATCGCTGATGCATATCTGACAGTTTCGATATGCATATGTATATAGAATGAATCTAAAGCATTAAAAGACTATTGGGTAGAAATGATATCGAGCCCGATGCGGGGCTCGAACCCGCGACAGCCAGATTAAGAGTCTGGTGCTCTACCGACTGAGCTAATCGGGCCACAACGCTGGTTGTTAATTAAAATTTTAATATAAAATATTAAAATTTAATTTAATTTGATGGAAATTTTTTTCTTTAATTGTAATGGATGACTGACTGGTTGTTTATATGATCAATAGGCTAACTGAGTGATTAATTGATCAAATTGATCAAATAAATGATTAAATGATTGATCAGGAAAGTTTCAATTTGACATTAATAAAACGATTTGAAGATTGTCAATGGTGTTTTTTTTTTGCAAAAGTCTAAATGCTTGATAAGGAAAGATAAATGTTGAATAAATTTGCAGTCTGGCATTAATAAACAGTAAGCTGAGGTTTACGATAATTAATGAATAAAGCAGAAAGTTTCAAAAAAGTTTTTTTTGCAAGTTAGAAACTTTTTTTTTTCCTATTACAGTACAGTATCTAACAGTACAGTGTGCATATAGTACAATATGATATGAATATCAAAGAGAATATCACAATTATGATTATTTAAAAAGAAAATTTACAATAACCATATCGACTAAAATAAATATTTCATATTAAAATTGAATTTATGATTAAATTTACTAAAAATTATACCATTTTCCTTATCCATAAATAAATTAAATAAAATATTTTATGTTTGGCAATTTGATATTAAAAAATTTTAAAATATTAAGATAGTTTAATCGTGTTATTTCTAAAACTTTAAATTTTCTTAATTTATGCAAATTCCAAAATTCAAATAATAGATTGATTGCGAGAAAAAAAAAAAGATAGAAATGAATTGATGATTTACGCTCCAAACTGCGAAATATATCGAATATTGCTTGCATGATCTTTCACATTTTTTTTTAAAACTATATTTAAAAATTATATTTATGATTAATAAAATTTTAGTATCTCAATGTATTTAAAATTTGGATTACTTCTTGTAAAACTTAACTTTTTTAAATGCTTCCTTTAAATCATTTTATTTGAATACGATAATTACAATCAAGACAGAAATCATATGCAAAATAATTAATCCAAATTATCATAAATATAGTTTAATCTTGCGAAATTATATTCTTTCTTTCGGAATGTTTGCTTGGAAATTGGGTGAAATAAAAAATATCTGAATAAAATATTAATTGCAAATTTTTCAATTATTTTCACAGTTTAATATAATTACAAACTAGATTTCTTTTTGCAAAATTGAATTTATTTTGCCAAGAACTCATCTCATAGAGACGAGATAAATTATATATTCAATTATTTCAGTAAAATTATGTATATATATATACATTCAATTATTTCAATAAAAATTTTATTTTATATTTGTTCCAATGATACATTGTCTCATTTGTTGGCTAATATATTTAATAGCCAAGGGGAATGGCAATGTAATACATCCATTCATCACATCAAATATTTCGTTTGTTTCTATGACCCTCTCGAACATTTGTTGTTTGTCTTCGTGAACTTCCCGCGCATTATTATTTGCCACTATGAGCTTCTCGTACATTATTGCCTTATCGAATTGAATCAAATCGAATATTTTGGACAATTGTAATGGACATGGGCGGAGTCTGATATTGCGTTGGTCAGTGAACGAATGTCCTTTGCCTATGCCAATACCAAGGCCTTCATCATTTGCAACAAACGACGACGGGTCATTCGGTTGAATGGTCCACTTATCAGCTGACCTTCTTTCACTAGCACTCCCCAACAATACACCTTCTCCTCCATTCTTACTACCAAATTTCCTTCACTGAAAGCATACCATTTATTTTAACCTCCTCTCTTTTCTCCTGAAATTAAAATTAAAATTAGAATTAAGAAATGAAAAAATTAGGGTTTTTAAAATTAAATTTCTATTTTCACAATCAAAACTGTACCAATTAATTCAAAAATACTACTTTAAGTGTAGGGAAATTAAATACCATCAGTATTAACAAATGATTGTTTTCCTTTAAAATAAGTTAATTTATTTCAAGCGTTTTCGTTTAATTACATTGAAAGGAATTACATTTTAATCGTTAGCATAATCATTATCAGATTCAAATCCTTTACGGTGGTGATCAATTTGAACTTACTCATACTTAATGGCGAAAATACTTCTCCTCATCTTTCTCTCACTTTACTTCACTTCAGCGGTATTTCTTTTCCACAATTCATATGCAGTTTTTTTTTTTTCGCATAATTCACATACAATTGTAAGATTATTTAAGAATAATTATAAAATAAATGAACATAAAAATTTTTAAGCAAAATTTTTTTTCCAGAAAAAAGAAAAAATTGATTATTATATTTTACAAATAACAATTTGCAGCAACTGGCCAGTGATTCGGGACTAGCATTTGAAGTTGTCGCAGCTGAAGCACAAGATGCTAAAGCAAATGTTACCGAGAATGATCAGGAAGCGGTAAATGCTACCACCCATTCTCATCATACTCATGATGAGGCTGTAAAGGAGCATGGAAGAAACGAACCAAAATTACTTAAAGTACGTGCAACTGTTGAGGAGCAAGAACAAAAGCATCAGAATGAAACAGCCAAGGATGATGCTACAGAACGTCATCCCAAAGAACTTAAACTACAGAAGGATACCAAACAGGAAACAACCACCACTGCTGAGCCTGAAACTACAAGAGCTCCATAAAATTGGTCAGTGGAAAATATAACTTTTCTTCCCTCATTTTCATTTCTCTCTTCATTAACTAAAATACAAGCAAAGATGAAAAAAAAAATTTTTTTTTATTTTAGTTTTTTAATACAATAAATGTTTTACATTTGTAGTAAAAAATTTTAATATTATTACAAGATTTTAACTTTTTTTTATGATGAAATATGTTTTTGGTAAAATTAATTTTATTTTAGGAAATAAACAATGGCATTCATCGATGAAGAAATTTCATGCGTGATAATTATGAAAATAATCTTTTTCTATCGATACATTTTCTCTTTTAAAAATAATTAATTGGGAAGTTTTTATATAACTCAATTGCAAACTCATTCAATGTTTGCATCCCTTTATGGTTTACTCTAAATTTGAATGCTCAGGAGTATAATTATCGCGCAATTGTTGATTTTGATAATTGTATTATTTAGTCAATTAACTATTCAATTTATATTATTTAGACAATCAAGTATTTCATTTATATTATTTAGTCAATCAAGTATTTGATAATTTTTTATACCTTCTACTTCATTACTTTATATCTTCTGGCATTAAAAGTTTCGAAATATGTGAAATGGCTTTACAAAATATTATCAGATGCATATGTGAACTAAAGGGAGAGACGGTTGCTAAATAACAAATAAAACAATCATACATTTGACCTATTGATTGATTCTAAACTTTCAATGGCTAATTGGTATGCATTTTAAACATCAAATGTAAATGCATTTTATTTTCAAAACTTTCCTCAAAGGGATGCAATCACTATGAATGAATCATTTAATTAATTAATTAATTAAATAACACTATTATCAATAGTTTCAATGCATAAAAATTTTTAATATACTATTATTATCAATAATAATTTGCACACAACACACAAACACAACGAATGAATTTTAAAAAGTACATCATTTAATGGCTTTCATTTTAAATTATTTTAAATTTTCGAAAATGTTGAGATCTGGAATTGAAAATTTCTTTCTAATTATTCGATGGTTGATTGAAATTTGATAAGTTTTGACCTCCATGTTTTAGCGCGGTGTCATATCGATAACCTAAATATTGTGGTGAAACTTGTATGAATGAAATTAGAAATAATTGATCGGTACAATATATAATGTAATGAATTTAATGCGATTTAGAATATGGCCCATAAAAGTAATATGAAATGAATAGGAATTGGAAATTGTCACTTTTATTTAATTTACACATTCGTAATTATTGAAATATTTTTAGGTGAATAATTTTGAAATAAATCATATTTTTGCAATGATAAAAGTTGACTTTATTAAATGCAAACGTTATTATTGAAGTTCAAATACCATTAAATGAAATTTCAATGTCAAATCTAAACTCAATTTTCAATTTTACAATTATGAAAGAAAAATTTTACAAATGGAAATTTTATTCATCTTTTGTATATGATAAATACTATTGGAATGACTGCTAATAATTCTAATATATATTTAAGTCTCAATTGAATAAACTAAACATTTAAAATAAATTTGTGAATTTTGTTTATGACTAAATAATATAATAAAAGTTTGTAGGCTAAATTTAATAAGCAGAAAATAATTCACTCAGTCTCTCTCTTGAAATAGAAAGCAATTCAACAATTTAAAAATCTTAAATTTAGCAATTTCTGCCATTTAGTTTAGATTAATCTGCGTGCCTATGTGCTCTTTCTTTCTAGGTAGCAATACTTCAGACTTTGTATAAATATGTCAAACATAAACCTAATAAAGTTTCATTTCCCTTCTTTTCATCTCTTAAATAATCATTTTAAGGTATAACTAATAAAACTATAACAGTTATGAATTTCAATTAAAACAATAGCCGTTGATGAAAAAATGATATCCACTGATTGTCTTCCTTATCATACATAATCCATTCGATGGATCGAATTATTTTCAATACTTTTAAAGACAACAAATATTTTTCGAAAAAATTTATTTTTTCTCAACTAAGCACATAATTTGATAAGCTTGTTCATTTTTTCCTTATTAATTCTCCAATTTCTATTTTTTTCTTGTAAAATTTTTAAAAATTTACTTACAAAATCAGTGAGGAAAATTAACATTTCTTCAGTTAATATAAATTTACTATTTTTGACACAATGATTACTTCGATATTACAAAACGTAATAATTGTAAATTTATTGGAAATAATAGAAA